CTTTCATCGCCCTCTACATAACCCAGACCTCCGAGACGCCGCATAGGCTTCCGTGCTTCCACGCGTTGGCGCTCAAGGCTTGCGCATGGACAATCAGCTTAGGCTTGGGGGTGGTTTAGGGATTCGGCTTTTGGTCTGTCGCCCACGGGGTCGGCGGCCTGAGCCGGAGGCTCTTAAATTTTAAGGTCTAGGGTTTAGGGTTCAGGGTTTAGGGTTTAGGGTTCCGGGTTTAGGGTTTAGGTGTAGGGCTTTAGGATGCTTTTAGCGTGATGGGAAACACCACCCTGAAAACCCTGCTCTGAGGGTTCAGCTGAAATGGCAAAACCCTAGACCCGTAAACCCTAAACCGTAAACCCTGAACCCTAAACCCTAAACCCTAAACCCCAAACCCTAAACCCCGAAATCGAGGCTTTGACATCAAGTTTGGCAACACCCGGCATGGGCAGCACTTGGAGTAGCCGTGGTAGCCGCTCCAGCAGTGACAGCCATTGCCTCACAAGGTTTAGGGTTTGGGGTTTAGGGGTTTAGGGTTTAGGGTTTAGGGTTTAGGGGTTTAGGGGTTTAGGGGTTTAGGGGTTTAGGGGTTTAGCGCTTAGGGTACAATTGCTGGGCTAGGGGTTGTAGCCCTTAGGCTTGAGGTTCTGGTTAGAGTCTAGTGCCTGAAAACTTACACCGCAGACCGCAGACCAAACAAAAAAACAACGCATCCTTCTTCATCACAGGGTTTAGGGACACTCTCTTCTGCAAAGAAAACCTATAAGAAGCCTCACAAACGCCCGTACAACACTGCATAACCCAATCAATCCCCATGAAACTCCTGGTCCTATAAAACGTTGTTACTACATAACTTTTTCAAAACATTCAAAACCCCATAAAACCCAGTACATTCTGTGAAACCCTGTAAAAACCCAAAAACATGTTCCTATAAACCCTAGACCCTAAGCCCTATAAACCCTAAACCCTACTATCTATTTCTACTTGGAGGCCCAGGGGACTTCGTAAGTCGGTTATAAGTGGTTTTATAGTTGCGGTAACCACAAATAGGGTACTTGTACCTCCACTTACAACCTACTTACTATGTCCCCTGGGCCTCTAAGTACTATAGTGGCCTAAATAATTACCTATATTATTTTGGGGGTTTCTTATTCTAATTCTAGTAGCATGGGCCCCACAACCCTATTCCATTTATTAAGGCCCCTATACCCTAAACTACCAAACATACTTTTTTGTAGGGTCCTTGTAAATTCCATATAAGGGTTTATAAGAAGAGCCTACGATAAAGTAGGGCTTGGTAGTTTAAGGTATTATTCTAATTATTAAGGCCCCTAAACCCTAAACCCTTGTAGTAGCCCTTATAGAACCCTTTACAGGAACCCTTTTAAGTTACCCTATTCTAATTATTAAGGCCCCTAAACCCTAAACCCTAAACCCTAAATCCTAAACCCTAAACCCTAAACCCTAAACCTTTTAACAGTATGCCATTTTAAAAGGAAGCCCAGGGACCGGAAGCCAGGCCAAAGCCGCTTTGGCAGAGCCAGGGCCCGGAGCCGCAGAAGTAGCGGCCGCCATAGTAGTCGCAGGTAAAGCCCTCAGAGGGCTCCCTTTTAAGGGTTTAGGGTTTAGGGTTTAAGGGTTTAAGGGTTTAGGGTTTAAGGAAACTACAGGTGGGGAGTTTAGGGTATATAGGGCTTCTATAAGGCTTCTATAAGGTATATAAACCTTCTATAAGGCTCCT